AAGAAAGACCAAGAAAAGTGTGATTGAAGTTTAAGAATATAAAAAGAAAACCCTACTGACTGTTTTAGGATACTCGTAATAATATTTCCACGTAATGTGTTAAAAATACTATCTTAAATCTTAATCTTAAAGGAATATGCAGAAAGTGTTCTTTGATACACTTACTTCATGTGCTGACAGCCTCAGTCTTTAATGTAATTTTCTTAGTAGTATGTGTGAGGTGTGCAGAAGTAGCAATACCTCTAGCCTATGGGAAGGGAAATTCATACTGTACTTAAAGATGTATTTGGCTCTCAACTCAAAATTTAGAGGGAGCAGAGCCAGCTTGATACTCAGAGCTGCAGGACCTTGCAGCTGGGTGGTGGCTCTGAGCATGGGATTCACAGGTCAGTGTTAGAGAGGTTTCCTCTCTCTAGGTGGAAGGGATATAGGCCAAGAATTTTGGAAGGCCTTTTAGTACTACTGCTGGGAGAGAGAAAAGCAGGTCCTTCCCTTCCTCTGTTCTTTCCTTGCTTTTGTATTCTCCCAAGCTGTCATGGCTGTGGCAAACTGAACTGGGAACCAGATTCGTAAAACAGTTTGGGGAAGGAGGGAGATTTGAATTTTTCATAACCAGTCATTGGGTAATAGGCGTAAATAGCCCTTGAAGCTATATCTTTCCTTTTTTGCAAGTACCTCAACTATTAGATTGTCTCTTTCATGTTCTCTTTATGGACCACTGAAGCTTAATCTTTCTTTCCTTCTCCTTTTCCTTCCTTATGGAAAATGGTTTGTAAGTTACTAGCTAGAGGACAGGTATAGGGTTGAACTTCTTCAGGTGCGGGGAAGAACTAAGCTTGGTTCTGTTGTGTCCTGAGTAAGTGCTTTATTGTGGGTAGTGGAAAACAGACACCACTGCAATTATTTTTCCTTATTGAACAAGAGTAGTGACTGCCACCGAGTTCTGTGCAGAATGTCCACGTGTGCAGTCTTGGGGCTGGCAATAGCTCTAGTGAGGGTGTGGTCCAGCAAAGTGCTGGCTTAGAAAATTTTTTTCCTTCTCCAACTAGTTTGTTGCTGCTTCAGTTCTATCTGCACAACTCTTTGTGAGGTTGTAATGTAAATCAAATCCCTGGTATAATGTAATTTTTTTAATCATTATTAATGGGGTTAATTTGACGAATCTGGATTAAAATATGGTTCAACAACAACAACAAAAAAACCACACCAACCTGTATCAACACAATTGAGGATGTGATAAATTGTGATAGGGAACAAGAATTTCCTAAGCATTTTCTGGTTGACCAGCACTCTGTTCTTTCCACTTCTGTTTCTTTTGCAGGGTTGCTGGTTTAAGAGTTGCTTTCCCTGAGTACTTCTTGCTCATTCAGTGTGAGAATGCCACCAGTTTTGCCAATATAATGTTTTTTATGGTTACATGGTTACATTTTTCACATACAAGTTCCTTAATTCAGTTTCCAAAATGGCCACAAAGAATACTTGTTCCAGCTTGTCAGAGGGCCAGTGGTGGAGCAGAACAAGTGACTCATGGCAGGGCTGAGAAGAAGTTGACACAGCTTAAATAAATGGCTAACCACAGCTTCAGAGAGCACATTTAAGATAAAGTCCTCCAAGGGAAGTAGGTAGGCAGGTATTTCATTTCTGATCCATTACTAGATTTAGGTTTGAATTAAGTGCCAAATTGTTTGGCCTTTTTAGTTATCTGGGCACATGCAGACAAAAAAAACCCCACCGCCCAGAAAACCTTTACAGAACATTTTCTGCTGAAAATTTAGACTCTGTGTTGAAATGAAGATCCTAGGCTAAAGACTGAGTTAAGTCTCTTGGTGGATTTAGCCCTGAGTACGCTGCCTGAGTTCATGACGTCTTTGTGAAAGCAGGGATCTGGATGCAGATCTTGTGAATCCATGTCCTTCCAAATACTATGGTAGGTCCAGAGTATTTTATAAGTTGCCTGCATTATGGAAAAGTAAGTAGTAGTCAGTTAAAGAACTATGAGCAAGAAAAGGTGCTTCCCTTAGTGTACATAATTAGGATTCATCTCCTTTATGTCCTAGGCCCATGCATTCCTTTTACATTTGCTCTGCTCCTCTTTTCTCCCAAGCAGTTATTCCTGCGTGGACAGGAATAATTTTTCTCCTCATCCACACTTGTTTTTCCCCCTGTGTTGGCTTCGACTGTGCTAAATCTCGTTTCAGACAGATAAGGCTTCATGCAGTAGGAGTGGTGGTATATTGATGTTTCTTGATGGTTTTTTTCCCCATGCCCACACTCTTTTACTAGCTCCATATATGCTGAGTTTTGTTCTAGCCACCTTAGGCTAAGTGTGAAGCAAGACTTTAACATATGTGTCAGGGAGAGGTTTGATTCCTTATTGCATCCTTCCATTGCTTTTTCATTTTGCAGGATCTTGGTAGATGTCTGTTCTTCCTTAACCATCTGACAACGCTATAGATACGATTACTGAACTGATCTTTGTGTGTCTGTTAGTTGAGGAGTACAACATTAAATGATCGTACCTTTTTCACAAGGGTTTAGATTAGGTTTGGAGGAAGAGATAAAGTACGAATATGAAGGGAGATAAGATAGCAAGGGAATATATATTAAAACAAATAATGTACGTCAATTTTAAAATCACAAGTGATTTTTATTTTATCATCTGTAGATAGAATTACTGCACCTTAATATTGTGTGAACTAAGATTTCTGTTATTGTCTTCAGCAGAACCTCCAACAGCAGTCATACCTTATCTTGTCAAACTATGGAGCCTTGTACCTCAGATGAATTTTTTCAGGCTCTCAACCACGCTGAACAAACTTTTAAAAAGATGGAGAATTATCTTAGGCACAAACAGCTATGTGATGTGGTGTTAGTTGCTGGTGATCGTAGAATTCCAGCTCACAGGTAAGTTTATTATAATTTGAAATAACTTTCATTTATAAATGCACCTTCAAAGTATGTCCTGTGTTTTGTCTAAAAAAAATCAGAACATCCTAAACAATTTAGTATACCTTAAACATGCTTTTGTTTTTTTAACATTTATTTGGAAACTAAAAATTAATTTCTGTCTGTAGTATGCGATACAGCATCAAAAATAATTGTGATGTTTTCATGTTCTACTTTTTGTCTTCAAGCTTATAATAAGATATTTGCATAGCAAAATAAAAAGCCCAAAAGTCCCAAATGCACCCTCAGAATATTAGAAGTAGTACTGGTTTCTGTACCATAGAATGACATTAAAAAATTTTCTTAGATTTAATTTTTTCTTTGTACAAACAGTTAAGTTGTTGGAGTCATAATTAGCAATAAGGACAGTCTTCTGTCCGCATGAAGTCTTTTTGCTCCCATAGTAAGAAGGGTCCTTTGTTACTAAGCTACTGAACACTGACAGTAAGTGTTACAGGGCTAAATTAGATCAAACATTACCCTATCTGTCATCTGTGTAATTAATAGATCATATAGCATGCCACTTAAAAGCTAGGAAAATACCAAAGATTGTGAAACAAAAGTATGAATAACTGAAGCACGTTACAGTAATTAATGCACGGTGTTAATAGCTCGAATAGGAACCTGGGTATAATTAAGCTGTGGTTTCATAAGATTAGGTCTACAACAGAAATAGCAGCCTAAAGCATTCCTGTTTTCCATTGCTCATTCCTACTCCCACAGTGAAACTTTAGCTTACTACTGCAATAGTAATAAAAAGATGGGAATAGGTTGCTGGTTTGGGTTTGGTATTTTTCTTAAAAAGCCAGATCTCTGCTTTTATTCAGATATCATCCACACTGTTGTGCTGACACAACTGAGGAATGATAGCATGGGAATGGGAACTGACATGAGGAGCAGGGAGGCAGTTATACTGTAACTTGCTGTCAGAGACTTCATTTTATCAAACTTAATTTTTAAACAGTCAAGACTATCCCTGATTTTTCCAAGTTGATTTAAGCAAATCTTACTGCAGTTACTGCTAAAATGGGTGGTCCTGCTCTCCACCCAACCCCTGACCTGAATTCCTTTGTAAACACTTATAGCCACACAGCTGTGGATGATGATGAATCCTTTTTGGAGAGAGAGTAGGGTGAGCAAGATGATTTGGCTTTCGCTGTGGCTACAGAGTTGCTTAAGATTGGTCTTCAGTTTGTCCAACTTAGTTGCAAAACTGCATTGTCCCTGTGGAAAGCCTGAATCAGATGAAAACAGGGATGTACACACCCCTATTGGATTTGT